CATGGGAGCCTGTCTACCCCCGGGGCCCTACAGCCGCTCACTTCGGGCTCTGCGGGGCCTGCTCAGCCAGGGAGTGTGACGGGGGCTGGGCCAAGCCCTACTGAGGGCTTCACAGAGAAGAATGTGCCTGGTGAGGTGGGGGCACTGGGCAGGGGGGATGAATGGTCTACAACCATGTTGGGATACAATTTCCTAGGCTCATCCCAGTGCCCTGTTTTCCCCACCTAGAAAGTTCCCCACATTCTCCCTGTGAGGGTCTCCCATCTGAGGCGTCTTTGACCCCAAGGCCAGAGGGAAAGGTTCCCAGCCGCCTGGCACTTGGCAGTCGTGGAGGGTACAATGGACGGGGCTGGGGCTCCCCAGGGCGGCCCAAGAAGAAGCATACAGGTAGGACAGCCGGTGGAGTGGCATAGAGGGAAGGATATTCCTGAAGCAGGGAGTCTGACTTCCAGGACTCAGCTTCTGAGACGAACTTGTCTTGGGGTTTAGGCATGGCTAGCATTGACAGCAGTGCTCCTGAAACAACATCGGACAGCTCCCCCACCTTAAGCCGGAGACCGCTTCGAGGTGGTTGGGCCCCCACTTCCTGGGGTCGAGGACAAGACAGTGACAGTATTAGCAGCTCTTCCTCGGACTCCCTGGGCTCCTCATCCTCCAGTGGAAGTCGCCGGGCCAGTGCCAGTGGAGGGGCCCGGGCAAAGACAGTCGAAGTTGGCAGGTCAGTGGGAAGCAACACCATCTGCCCTGATCTGCCTGCCCTCAGAGTCACGTCCCTAGTGTAATTGGAGCATTGTTTGCTAACCTGTGTGGACATCCATTTCAGAGAAACCCCAACCCCCATCCCTACCCCATTGCCCCTTCAGGTACAAGGGCCGCCGCCCCGAGAGTCATGCCCCTCATGTACCCAATCAGCCATCAGAGGCAGCCGCACACTTCTACTTCGAGCTGGCGAAGACAGTGCTGATCAAGGCAGGGGGAAACAGCAGCACTTCCATTTTTACACATCCATCTTCCTCAGGGGGCCACCAGGGTCCTCACCGCAACCTGCACCTTTGCGCCTTCGAGATTGGGCTTTATGCCCTTGGCCTGCACAACTTTGTTTCTCCCAACTGGCTCTCACGTACCTATTCTTCCCACGTTTCCTGGATTACAGGTAAATTTACCATCCTGATTGGGGGTTAATTGGGAGATAACAGCCTTGTCTTTGTGGCATTACCAGTCTAATGAAAACTGTTATCCACATACGTTCACGTGCCCATCCTAACTCCACTTTGCTTGTCTTTCCCTAAAGGGCAGGCAATGGAGATTGGCAGTGCAGCCCTGACTATACTAGTAGAGTGCTGGGATGGGCACCTGACACCCCCTGAAGTCGCATCCCTGGCAGACAGAGCATCACGGGCACGAGACTCCAATATGGTGAGGGCAGCAGCAGAGCTGGCCCTAAGCTGCCTGCCTCATGCCCATGCGTTGAACCCCAATGAAATCCAACGGGCCTTGGTGCAGTGCAAGGAGCAGGTATTTCTACAGGCAATCTGGGAATCCTAGCGGGGAGGTTGGGCATGTGGAAACTTGAGGGCCAGCTTTATTTTTTGAGATAGAGTTTTGCTGTGTTGCTCAGGTGTTCTTAAACTCATGATCCTCCTGTCTCAGCCTCCAAGAGTAGTGGGACTTTCAGGCAGGCTACCATGCTGGCTTGAGAACCCAGCTTTTGAGTCTCATATTCAAGAGTTTATAAAGTATCCAGGTTGACTCCACTTGTGACATTCAGGATATTACAGGTTGAGTATGTCTTACCTGAAATACTTGGGACAAGAAGTGTTTCAGATTTTGAAATACTCGTTTATATGTAAGATTAGGTATCTTGAGGCTGGGGCCCAAGTCTAAGCATAAAATTTATGTCTTCCATATATGTATTTGATATAATATAACCTGAAGGTAATCTTACACAATATTTTAAATAATTTTGTGCATGGGGCCAGATTTCTTTGTATGTTTCCCACTTATGGCATGTTGCTGATCAAAAATTTTGGATTTTAGAACCTTTTAGATTTAAGATTGTTGGATTAGGGATGCTGAACATTTACTATGCTCTCACGTGCGTCATGTTCTTTTATCTCTAAAGTTAGGATTACCCCTACTTTACAGATAAGGAAGTAAAGGATTATAGTTTAGGGACCAGCCAAGATGAGCTAGGATAGAGTTAGTGGCCTTAGGGAGAAGACGAGGTTCAGATGGGAGCAGGCGGTTAAACTAGTTTAACTGGGGCCTATAATCTGGGTCTTGACTCCTGTTAGTCAGCAAGTGTTCACTGTCTGTGGCAAGCACTCTCACTGCCCTGCCACTAATCTGAGCATGGACCCTGACCTGACCCCACCTCTGAGACCACTGTGAGAGACACTCAGATGTTGTCTGACACCATTCCTGGGTGAAAACTTTCCCCTTTAACACTCTTGTGCCCGTTCTTCCAGGATAACCTGATGTTGGAGAAGGCCTGCATGGCGGTGGAAGAGGCAGCTAAGGGTGGGGGCGTGTACCCCGAAGTGTTGTTTGAGGTTGCTCACCAGTGGTTCTGGCTATATGAGCAAACAGCAGGTGGCTCATCCATGGCCCGTGAAGGGGCTACAAGCTGTAGTGCCAGTGGGCTCAGGGCAGCTGGGGAGGCTGGGCGGGGGCTGCCGGAGGGCAGGGGGGGCCCAGGGACTGAACCTGTAACAGTGGCGGCGGCGGCAGTGACAGCAGCAGCCACAGTGGTTCCAGTCATCTCAGTGGGATCCAATTTATATCCGGGTCCAGGGCTGGGACATGGTCACTCCCCTGGCCTGCACCCCTACACCGCTCTACAGCCCCACCTGCCCTGCAGCCCTCAGTACCTCACCCACCCAGCGCACCCCGCCCACCCCATGCCTCACATGCCCCGGCCTGCCGTCTTCCCCGTGCCCAGCACTGCATACCCACAGGTGAGTTGGGGGTATACTGGGGGTAGGACGTGGGAACACTGGGAGTGGGGTGTCGTGGTAGACTGTCCATAAGTCCCAGTGAGGTGGGAGACTGGGGAACCCAGCCCAATTAAGTAAGGGGTCCCTAAGTGTGGGGGAAAGGGTGCTATACCTGCTGTAACTTGGTGTCTGCCTTCTTTGTCCCCCACCTCTAGGGTGTGCATCCTGCATTCCTGGGGGCTCAGTACCCTTACTCGGTGACTCCTCCCTCACTTGCTGCCACTGCTGTGTCTTTCCCTGTCCCTTCCATGGCACCCATCACAGTCCATCCCTACCACACAGAGCCAGGGCTCCCACTGCCCACCAGTGTGGCCTGTGAGTTGTGGGGACAGGGATCAGGTGAATGGAAGGGAGGCGCATGGACGGGAGGAGGGGAGTTCTTTTCTGCCCATTGGCCTCATATCTCACAGCTGTCCTTGTACTCTCAGTGAGCAGTGTCCATCCAGCACCCACGTTTCCAGCCATCCAGGGCGCCTCATTGCCAGCCCTGACCACACAGCCCAGCCCTCTGGTGAGCGGGGGCTTTCCACCGCCCGAGGAGGAGCCACACAGCCAGCCAGTGAACCCGCACAGCCTGCACCACCTGCACGCTGCCTATCGTGTCGGTCAGTGGAGGGTGTCTTCCCCAGCTCCTGTCCACAGTGGGCCTGAGGCTCTTACCCTGTGCAACGTGGCGTCAGGTGCCAGGCTGGGATTGAGGGTAAAGCAGATAGACCCCACCATGTGACCTTTTGTCTTACAGGGATGTTGGCATTAGAGATGCTGGGTCGCCGGGCACACAACGATCACCCCAACAACTTCTCCCGCTCCCCCCCCTACACTGATGATGTCAAATGGTTGCTGGGGCTGGCAGCAAAGCTGGGTAACACCTCCCCTCCCAAGGACCATTGTCTCCCCCACTCGCTCCCCCACCTTCCTATCCCAGACCTCCTTCCTAGCTCTTGCTCAGAGTTGAGGCCTTGGTCGGGTATGTGTGCGTGCGCGGGGGGGCGGAGGTTACCTCAGCTCCTGGGGTGGTGGGAGGCTCTCTGCCAGGCCAGAGCTGAGATATAGAAGTTGGGTCCCTAGGGCAGAGGTGGCCACCCCCGTCTCATGCCCCTCCCCCCTGCCCCCCAGGAGTGAACTACGTGCACCAGTTCTGTGTGGGGGCAGCCAAGGGGGTGCTGAGCCCGTTTGTGCTGCAGGAGATCGTCATGGAGACGCTGCAGCGGCTGAGCCCCGCTCATGCCCACAACCACCTGCGTGCCCCGGCCTTCCACCAGCTGGTGCAGCGCTGCCAGCAGGCATACATGCAGGTGACAGCCTGGGGAGAGTGGTGGGGCACAAATCTACATGGTTACCGACTAGTGCACCCTGTGTGAGGGCAGAGGGGCACAGCCCTGTGCTGTATACTAAGGCTCACCCCTTGCACATCCTCCTCTAGTACATCCACCACCGCCTGATTCACCTGACCCCTGCCGACTACGACGACTTTGTGAACGCCATCCGCAGTGCCCGCAGCGCCTTCTGCCTGACGCCCATGGGCATGATGCAGTTCAACGACATTCTGCAGAACCTCAAGCGCAGCAAGCAGACCAAGGAGCTGTGGCAGCGGGTCTCACTCGAGATGACCACCTTCTCCCCCTGAGTCTGGCCTCCCTAGGGCCCTGTACAGAGACACAGGCCTGTGGCTATGGGGGCCCCTCACATGGAGGGAGTGAGGACAGATCGTCCCCACTCAGTTCCCTGGGAGCCCAAACTGGCAGCTGTTCTTGGGCTGTAGCTTGGGGCCAAGATGTCTCAGACCCTAGAAGGCTAGGGCTGGGGGAGACAGCCCTGTCTGGGAGGGGGCATTGGGTGGCCTCTGGTATTTATTTGGCATTTATAAATATATAAACTCCTTTTTTACTCTAATTTAATGGGCTTTCCCTTATTTCCTTCCATGTGCCACTGAACCTTGAACCAAGAGGAGAATGCCTGACTCCTGCTTTATACTAGCTTTTCCTCATTGCATTAAGGCAGATAAACAGAAAAATAAGGATGTTTATTAAGGACATTTTTGGCCCATAGCTAGGGCTCATATTTAAGCTCTATGAGCCACTGTCCGACCTCATCCCCATTCAATATGAATGACGTTAGGGAGGCCGGGCCACAGGTAGATCCCACTGCTTGACTAAAGGGGCCACAGCAAGGGGGTCCCTCCCATAGCCATAGATACACTGCTTGGGATGAAGAGGGAAACCTTTGGACTAATATATTCCTCTCCATCCTGGCTGAACCCTTGCGTTCTTCTCTACCTCCCAAGATCATGAATCAAAGGTACCTAGTACCATGATACAGGGCTACCAAGGAAACCCCTTTATCAGGCCCTAGGGCTATAGAAAAGGGATGTCCTTCCCTTCTCAGCCATCCCAGGCCTGAGGGCCACTGAGGTAGAAGGGGGTGAGGCTAGGCCACTCCATTCCCCCGGTAAGACCTGCTCTGGGCTTTCCCCTTTGGGAAGCAGAGGACTTTTTGCTGGCAAGGAAGGCTGGGACATCAGTCCGGACTGGAATGCTGCAGTTCTTCCCGAAGCCATGAGGGGACTGGTTGTCCAAGCCGGCTCAGCAGCTTTGACAGCTCCAAGTTATGGGTCCGGAAAAAGTCAGTAAGGAAAAGGCGGGACTGAGAAAAAAATGAAGGGAGGACACAGTAAAGAATCGGACTGTATCTGCTCTTCCAGGTGGAGTGCGATGCCCTGCCCCAGGCTTCATTTACCTTGGTGTCCATATCTGGGTACCTTCGGCCTTTGCTCTTGCCTAGGCAGCGAGTCTTACCACCTTCAAGTCCCTGGCACCAAAATCCCTTATCTTCATCAAACCTGTCCAACATGAAAAGGCCATTAGGTAGGAAGGCGAAGAGAAGGCCAAGCCCCATAAATGCACACCACTCTCCCAGCTCATAGGAACGTCTCTCCTTGTAAGACAGGGAAAACCCATGTCTTTTCACAGACATTATCAACCTGCTTGCCCATTTCCCCCAGAGATTCCACCCCCAGGTCATGCTCTCCCACCTGAGGGTCCGTGTGTAGTTCAGAAAGGGTGTGATACCCAGGAACTTCTGGATGCTTTCCATTGAAGCTGCTGGGTTGGTACGCAGCTCTTGCCCATCCACAATCAGCAACTAAAGGGACAGGGATGTGGTTCCCTCTGCATTCCTAGGAAGTGGCTGGGCTGGAGGGAAGGGCACCCCAATGAAGACTTGGGGAACTGTACCTGTCCAGAGGGGTAATATGTTAGCCAGCGTTGCAGATGAGTAGAATAGTAGCCAGGGACAAGACAGCGGTTCTGCAGGGAGCGAAGTACCAGGGGAGCCTTGGAGGTGGCTGAAATCACCTGGTAGAAGGTATAATTCAGAGCAACTGGGTCTCCGTGAGCTCGCTGGTGCTGAAGGACAGGGAGTAGAAAGGCGAGCTGGTGACTAGACAGAATTATTCTGGCCTTATTCCAGGTCTGGTGACAGCACAGGCACCCCTCATCAAGACCTAGTTTAGTTTCTCTACCCCATTCCTGTCTCTCCTCCCATGCTACCCTTTTCCCCTTAAGCCCCGTGTGTCCCCAGCTTCAGGCAGACCTGGTACCAGGAGTAGGCCCTGTCAGTAGGGTTGGTGAGCACAGTGATGATCTTAGCTCGTGGCAGGAGGGCAGCCCCCCGCCGTGGTACAACCTCTGAGTCAAAGTAGTTGGCACTTTTTTCAAACAGGAAGTCAGTGCTGGCATTGGAAGGAACAGGAAAAAAATCCATGTACCTAGGAAGCAGAATAGAGAAAAGGTGGAAACATTTTCAGAGTGAAGAGGTCAGATGTCAGTATTAGTGTGGGTATTTTTGGAGAAGGAAATGTTCCTCTTGAGAGGTCTTCAAAGGGTTCCAATCTCACCAGTCAATACCCTTGTGGTAATTAGGGCCACTGAAGAACTGAATCTCCTCAAAGGTGCTGGGGCTAGGGAAGCTGCTGGTCACAGCTGGGTGCAGGCTCAGGAAGAAGTGAATAGCTGTGGTCCCTAAATGAGAGAGAAAGACCACCCCATTGTGGGAGAGAAGCCAGCTAAACAGAATGAATTTGAAGAAAGCAAGAAAACAAGCACTCTGGGTAGTAAAATTTCCTTTGGCCAATCTATACTGACAAAAGGAAAGCCCAAGGGAGGTACAGGAAAAAAGAGTTAAAGCTCTCAGCCTTGACTAGCTATCAAAATCAGGAATCTTTGGAGGGGTGCATGCTGGTATCAGGGATTGAACTCAGGGCCTTTACACTGAGCTACATCCCAGCTCTCTTGTTTTTTTACTTTTTAAAACTTGCTCTTGTTAAGTTGCCTAGGCTGGGTGAACTTGTAATCCTCTTGCCTCAGCCTCCCAGAGTGCTGTGATGACAGACACACACCACTGTGGCCAGCCACTTGTAGATCTTTGAAAAGTCTTACAGGTGGGACTGGGGCTGTAGCTCAGTGGCAAAGGGCTTGCCTAGCATGTGTGAGACCCTGGGCTTGACTCCCAATACTGAAAAATAAAAAGGAAACAAAAACTCCACAGATGATTTTGATACACAACTAGAGTTAAGAATCCCTGTCTCAAGAGCCAGGATTAAGAAGGAGGGTGTATGAGAAGGGAATGCCTTGGCAAAAGCATCTTTGAGCTTAAGGCAGAGCAAGAAACTAAGGGCGATTTATTTACCTGTCTTCTGGGGTCCCACAATGAGGAACTTGGGGAGCCGATCACAGGTTTTCTCCTTGGACCAGATATCTTTGTGCCTCTTGTCATCACAGGGATTCTGAAGGCGAGGCCAAGACTCCTATAAGGCCTAATCTCTTAAACCCCACCGCCATCGTGTCTGTGACCATCTGGGCTCCACCCTTACCTGCCAAAGAGGGCTTCGCTCCTGAGGGAAAAGTTCAAAGTATTTTCGTGCAAGAGGAACAGGAGGAAGGGTCTGTAGGCGCAGCCGTGTCCAACACTGGAGGAAGCGCACAAGGCTCTCAAAGGTATACAGGCCCAGCCGGTCATTTCCGTAATTGGACAGATGGGTCATAAAGATGCTGATCTGCAAGGGGGGCCTGCAGGTCAGATCCTGAGCATCTAGCCCACCTCAGAGGCAGCCTTGATGAGTAAAGTCCCAGTCTGCAAATATTTTGGCTCTCTAACCTTCTAGACTTTCCTCTTGGCACCTTACCGGATTAAGCAGCACCGTCAGAAAGAGCTCTCCACCTCGGATGCTCTGGTCTAGTTCACGAGAGCCTCCGGGATACTCATTATAGAAGATTGTGTGAGTGAAGAGCCCACATGTCTGCCGGGGCAGCACCTACAAGGAGAAGAAACAGGCGTGGATGAGATGTAAAAGACACAATATGAGATGATGAAGGACAAAAGTCCTGAGGCAGTGGGATTCTCTGAGTTTAAGAGGGCCTATGAGAAACTTCTCCCCTTGAAGTTACAGCAATAAGGCTCTTACTATGGGCACTACGGGTTTCCATAATGATTTTTATCCCCATTAAACTGACATACTGGGACTGGCAGTTGACAGCCCTACATGAAGGCAGTCTGGAGGCTGTCTAAATGTGGGATTTGATTTAGTTTTGTAGTAGGAGTCCCTCACCATGATGCCATTGTGAATGAAGCCACGGCGGTAGCGGGCAGGGCGGAGATGGGGATATTCCTCAGTGCTGGTCACCTGGATACCCCACACAGATTTCCAGGCCTCATAGAGCTGTGTGTGGATGGGATACACACCAGAGTGGTGGGGGGCCACAGCATACCCCAGATCCGTGGGAATCCCATGTTCCTGGGAATGGCAGACATAGACTCTCACTAGGACCTGGTGAGCTCTGAGGAATAGAGGGCAAAGAGGGAGGGGATACTACCTCCACAGAAGGAATACTGGAAAGGGTAGGGGAAGGGCATCACATTAGGGCAAGGTTAAAAAAGAAGCTTAGCTCTGGTGAAAGTATGGGGAAGAGATCCAAGAGTCTCACCAAAGCAAACTGCTTGTTGAGCCTCATCTGGTCAGCCAGCACGGAGCGATTGTGGAACAGGTGTGGCTGCATGTGGCTCCACATGTGGGGGAACCACCAGAATTCTTTGCGGTGCTTCAGCAGCATGTCGTCCCCTGCATCCTCCTCCTCTGTCCCTATGACCACACACTGACTGCTGACCACAACCAGTCCTCCTCTGTTTTGTTATAACACTGACCATTTTCCATTCTTGGGACATTAATGGTCCCTGCCCACCCAAGACTTCCCAAGTGCTCCACTGCCAACTTGCTCTGCAGCCACCCATGCTAAATTCACACCCACCACTATCTCCACACAGCAATCTGACCCCAACCCTTGCCCCCTTTCTTCAGCTTGTCTGCTTAGGGAAATGGACAGTGAAGGGACAGATCAAACTAGGACTACTGAACTGAACAAGCAGGGGAATAGGCTCACCAGTATGGTAGAACTTGCCCGAGAAGCCCAGGTTGAAGGTGAAGTTGGGAACTAAGGTCCTGAGTTTGTTCTGGGTGGCCAACAGAGCCTGAGAAGAGTAGCAGGCACATGAAAACTCAAGAGTGAGCAGGCTGAGCAAAGATACATCAGAAGTAGCTTTCCTTCTGCCTGCAAGGGGCAGAAAGTGTACCTACAGCAAGCTGAGAATCAAGGGAAAGGCCACAGCTTAAGCAGCTTCTAAGAAAGTAAGAAGAACTCTTACTGACCTCAACATCAGCCACCTTCATGCGGGTACCTTCTTTGCCCACAAAGATGTCATCAATGTCAACCAAGATGTAGCGGTCCAGATCCAGGCAGAGGCGCTTGCCAGTGAGGTATGCAACAGCATCAACGAAGACAAGTTTATGGAGCCAGAAAGAAAGGCCGTGGCCAAAAAGCACCCGCTGGATGCCATCATGGAGCCCTAGGTCCTGCACCACAGTGGGAAGCCGGGCACGACGAGGGGCTGGTCCCAGCACAGGGGGCTCAGCTGGCCGTGGGCTGGCCAGAAGCACTGGTTCATATGTGCTGTGATTGGACTGAAAGATGGTCCAGTCATCACCAGGCAGTGGCCCAGGTTCCAGGCGGCTGGGGCGTGTCAGATGCAGTAATGGGGCCGACGGATTTACTTGGTAGTCCCGGAGCCCCAAATTTGAATGCAGAAAAAGGGGAAAGCCCTTGAGCTGGGCACTCAGTAGGCTGTGCTCGTGGGCTCGAAAAAAGCCAATGATGCCCACCCCATACTCCACACAGTACCGGTCTAGCAACTCTCGACTCCAGGCATCCAGGTTGACATACTTGAGCAGATTTTCATAAATGACCAAGACATAGCGGCCACGGGTGTGATCAGTCAACGTGGGCATGTCCCCTCGGCCAGGGGCTAGCTCAGTGCTATAACGAAAACGACTAGACTCCAAGATGGCTACGATCTCCTGCCCCAGCTGTGAGTATGCACTCTCTACAAATACAAGGACCACTGGTTCAGTTCGAGCTGTTTCTGGAGGCCTGGGAGGCCGAGGTGGGACTGGAGGCCTCGGAGGGCCAGGGCCAGGTGCCCCACTGTTGCTGCAGTCTAGGGGGAGGGGCAGGGGTTCCTTGGCCTTGGGGCTGGTAGACACGTAGTAAGCAAGGAAGCCCATTGAGCCCAAGCTGAAAACAATTAGCAGCAGTATGAGGCGGTACAGTTCCTGCTGCCGAGCTGGGCATATCACCTTCCACAGCTGAAGCATGGTGAGGAGAAATGAGGGAGGAATGGGGACCACCTCAGGAGGTCTATAGCCTGAAACAGTCTTGGGAAGGTAGAAGTTCCCTGAAGAGGTAGAGACAAGTCCTCTTAGTACAGGGCAGGGGAGGTAGAAGGAGCAACAGGGTGGGGGACTGGATAGAGTCCACTGGCCTCAGGTCACCATGGCCTCCTGGCCCATGGCTTCAGGCTGTAAGTAGAGCCAGGTTCCACCTTGGTTTTGATGAAGGTCCTCACATCAGAAGTTAGCGAACTTCCCAATCTGGACCCACGACCTGTAAAACAGAAGTATCTATGAGTTACTTCTCCCCTTGAAATTCTGTCTTTAATCCATTTTTTTCTTCACCCTCTCTCTCACCTCCTGCTCACTTAAGATTTGTTCTGAAAACAAACAAAACAAAACAATAGGAGTCCCATACTTTAGCTTCACACCTGTTTCCTTTCCCAGGATACCCAAATTCTAAGCTCAAGGCTACAATAGTACAGTCAAATTCTCCCACCTACAAGGGGCCAAACAGCTGAAAACAGGCATGTTCTGAAAGGAGTTCCTAGCCTCTGACTGGCAGTTGGCTAGGAAGCAAGAGCTCTGGTTGTCCTGTGACTAACAGAGAGAAAGCACCAGAAGTGCCCTGTTCCAACAAAGAATCAGATAAGAGGAAACTCATGAGTTTGTTAATCTGCCACATCAATCAAACCCATCATGGTAGCTAATAGCACTAACGAACTTACTGGTGTACAGTCATGTGGACACCACAGAGGGGAAGTTCAAGGAAAGAGAGGTCGTTCTACTAGCTGTTCTACTAGCTTCTGAACCTAGAACTTGGACATGTGTCCATTGCTTGCAGAAAATTGCTTACCTCTTGACGTTTACCTAGCCTGTGCCAGAGTCAGGAGAGGAGATAAAAATGGAGACCCAGGGCCAAAGATTTAGCTCAGGGGCACAAGTGCCTGCCTGGCAAGTGTGAGGTTGTGAGTTCCAGCCCCGGAACCAAAAAAAAGGAGACCCAGAACAAACTAGTACCTGAGAAAAGTCACAGCCATAAAACAGTCTAGAATCTCTCCCTCTTCATTCCACTTCTCTTTCTTAATGTGACAGAGGTGGTATAATATCCCCATTTCTGAACAGGAGAGTCCTGAGCTAGCTCAGAGGATAAATTCAGTTAAAAAAAAAAAAAAAACAGAAACAACAACAACAAAAAAATAATACAAACTGAGTAAGGGATGTCAGAGAGTAGCAATAGCCTCTTTTTTTTTTTTTTGGTACTGGGGATCGAACTCACAACCTCACCTCATGCTTGCCAGGCAGGCGCTTATGCCGCTGAGCTAAATCCCCGGCTAGCAACAGACTCTTAAATCATATCCAGCCACTGAAAAACAGGCTCAGAAAACAGTTTAAGGAGTCCTAATTCGGGGTACTTATTTTTCTTAAAGTCTGCTTCTGGAAGCTTTATAGTCACGTGATTCACTTTAGCCACTCCTATTAAGGCCAGTGACTGGCGATCCATTTCTGTCACTCACTCCAATACCCACATCTCAGTGGTGACTATGCAGAGAGCACTTCAGAACCAAAAAACATGATTTAAGAACAGTTCAGATGAACCAGGGATAACAGCTCAATAGTATTAGCACCTGCCTGGCAAGCACAAAGTTGAGTTTGACTCTGGATACACTGTCCCACCCTCCCCCAAAAAAGAACAGTTCAGCTTTGTTCTGGGTAAAAGAGATCAACATGAGAGAAGATCTGGAAGAGATGATAAAAACTGTGAGGGGGTGTGTGTGAATGTAGCTCAGAGGCAGAGCATGTGCTATACATATGTGAGGCCCTGGGTTAAATCCACAGCACACATTCACACCAAAGTGATGAAAAGGGGTAAATTCTCAGAATTAGCCATGACTTTAGGGAAAATATAGTAATGAGATGTCATTGATGGCAAGTTGATAGCTGGGCTGTGTCACCCATGTTAATATTTACTGAGTGCTTACTACTTGCCAGACATTCTTCAAAGAGATTTATATATACAGATGATTCCCAACCTTTGATGGTTTTGACCTACAATGGTAGGTGATAGGCACTGATACTGTGAATTTTTTTTTTTTTTTGTCTTTTTCCTTTTTATCGGTACCGGGGATCAAACTCACGACTGCCTGCTTCCAAGGCAGGCGCTTATGCCGCTGAGCTAAACCTCCAGCCCCGATACTGTGAATTTTACTTTGCAGTGATGGGATCAAACCCAGGGTGTTGTATATGCTAGGCAAGTGTTCCACCACTGAACTATAGCCTCAGCCCCTAGACTTTGAATTTTGATCCTTTCCCAGTTAGTGGATATGTGGGCCAGTAAATATATGGTGCAATACTTTTGTCACATTGGGCAGTGGTAGTGAGCTGCAGTTACAAATCAGACATGCAATCAGATTAAACAACTGACACTCTGAACATACTGGATGCTGAGCTATTGTGCATGTTAGGTATATTAAATACCATTTTTGACCTAGGATATTGTCAAGTTTATGATGCGTTTATTAAGATTGAAAGCCCTACAGTAAATTGAGAAGCATCTGTTATTTAATCCCCATACCTATCCGAAGAGGTAGGGAAGAAATAGATTCTATTATCCCCATTTTACATTTTGGTTAATTTAGACCCAGAGAAGCTTAGTAACTTGCCCAGGATCAAACAGCTCAGTGAGTGGAAGAACTAGGCTTCAAAGTCAGGCCTGTCAAGTTCCGGAGCCCGCGCTGTTAACCACAGCATTTTAACTTCATACCTAGAAGAGGCAGCAATATTTAGGGGAGCAGTGATGGAAGGAGTGCGGTGTGGGGCGCGGGCTGGGATGTTAACTACTGGAGGGGGAGCATGCGATTGTGTGCGTGTGCGCGGCGGTGGGAGGTTTCTAAGGAGAGAAAGACCTAAGGGTCACCGGCCGAGCGGGAAGCGCAACACTAACAGGACTGGCAGGCTGGGGGTGTGGGCCCTGCGCCGGGACGGGCAGCGCAGATGCTGTGGAAGGAGAGGGCACTGAGTGGGCACCGGGGGCTCCCGGACTAAAGTACCCCGCTGGTGGACACAGGCTCACAGGTACTGAGAAGAGCGCGGACAGGGCACTAAATGGGAAGGGGAAGGAGTGCACCGACTCGGTGACACCGATGCGGCCTCCCGGCCCTGTGGGGAGAAGAGGGCAAAGTGAGCAGGGGGCAACTGTGACAGAGGCTACTGAAAGGGACACGGGCCGACAGGCGCGCTGGGCCGCACGAGGGGGCGTCCGGGACGACCCCACGGGTGGTAATGGTGGCAGCGCTCCCGGGAGTCCGGGAGGGGAGGTACTGAGTGCGACCGTGAGTGGGGGCCACACTCCGAGTGTGGGGGGGGCGGTTCTCTTCAAGGGCGGCTCACCCGGTGGAGTGGGCGGCGTCCCTGCGGTCCCCGGGCTCCGCCGCGTCCCGGGGCTGCCCGGCTTCCCTGCTCTCGGGGCCTCGGGCCGCGTCGCGGCGGCTCCGCCATCTCCGAGCGGACGCTCTGCCGCAGCCGGGCCCAACCACCGTTTCCACTGGGGGGAAACGGCGCGCTGCCGTCCGTGGCACCCGTCCGGGCTCCTGGTAGCTCAGAGCACGGCAGCTGTGCCCCCGGGTGCGAGAAACCCAGACAGTCCTCCGCAGCACACAGCCGAGCCACGGCCCTCGAGACGGCGAGCTCCGAACCCTACCCGCAGAAGCGCACCCCTCTTTTCGCTGGGTGGCACAGTCTGGCAAGCGTCGGGCGCCGCGGCACTGGAGCAGGGGCGGGCCGAGGGCCGGGCTCGACCACTCAGTCGCGCAGAGGGGAGGCCGGACCGGCCTACTGAGGGTGGGGGTGGGGGCGTGTCTCATACTGGGCAGGAGCGAGGCGAAATCCTTAGCCCTCTCTTTAAGGGACCTTGGTTTCTCCACCACTGCAATCGTCCCAGAGACTGGAGACGGAGTTTATGAAGAAGTCTTCTAAAATGAGCTCAAAGGGAGAAAAGATCTCTCTCCTAGCTTGAGACTTCATAAAATGGGGTGTTAAAAACGTAAATCCCTGGCCATAACTTCCAACACCACCAGTAACACAATGGACTGTTTAAAGGTTATTTATTAAATATCTTCAGTTCAAGGTTTCATTGTAACAAAGCTATGAAGGGTCTACCAACATTCAGAACAAACACTATTTTTAAATTATTTCTATGTCATCATGCAAAAATTCTGCATCAAATGCCTTCCATTTTCTGTTTAAAAGATGATTTTTAATAGTCTATTGTCTATAGATGCTGACATTAGCCCCAGAAGGTGTAAGAATGCTAAGAAGTAGGGCTGGAGCAGCCATATGAAGCTATGGGTCTCAATGAACTCTAAGACCATGTCTTCGAGCCAACAAAACCAAACCCTGTGGTGAAGGTGTCTGCGAGCTGGTACTGCAGGCTGCAGGGCAGAAAGGGGTGAGGGCCCAGGGGCTGGGACATGCATGAGGTGCTCGAGGGGCCTGGCTAAATCCAAGCACCAGCACCCATGAATTTGCTCTCTTCTCAGCTGGCTCCAAAGTACACCTGTCACTTTTGCTTCTTCTTTTTTTTTTTTTTTTGCCTCTTCTTGAAGCTCCTGTGCCTCCTGAAGGTTTGTCTAGGGAGCTGGAGTTCACCCACCTTTCCCCCAAAGCACATGTATTTGTGCAAACAAATACACACAGTTGATCTGGGGGGGGAACCAAGGTTGTGACCAATCCTCCTCCATTATCTTCTTTGTTATCTGCTTAGGGCACGGATCTTTTTCTCTTGGAATGGAACTTCTTGAGCATAGAGAGAGACAATGAGTGTAGGAGCCTCGGCTCTGGATGCCTTTCTGGGTACATGCAGGTGAGAGGGGTGATGCCCATGCAGATTCTCCAGCAGTAGGTCTAGACTTCAGTTGGTCAGCAAAGGGGCTTCTTTAAAGAGGGCATTTCCTCTTCTTGCCAGAGCAGTCAGGTCAATCTCAGAGACTGGGGTAGAGATGGACGTGCAGCAAGGGAAGAGTAAGAAGGGAGGCAGCCCAGAGGGCAGCCTGAATGCATAGAAACAACCACCACTCTTATGCCACTGCCTCACTTCTCCGGTCCCACAGGGCACTTGGCAGAAGACCCAGGCCCAGATGAAGGTCAGCATGGGACCACCGTTGTGAAAAGGCAAGCCTAAGATGGTCCAGATAAGCACAGAAACAGAACTGCCAAAGGCAGCAAGGGGAGCCCTGACCAGGGCCTGACTCTCTCATTAAGTTAATAAGAAAACAATCATGACGCAAAGCAGCAACCCCTTCCCTTCCCAGCTGCAGGGAGCAGGCCTCAAAATCAGGGCCCACGTGCATGTGCATCCTTTAGAAATGGATGCGTGAGTGCATGTCAGACTAACATGAGGTTTCTCATCAGCTTCATAGGGGGCACACTTCTGCAGCACCAATTCTCTTCCTTTCCACCTAAATTGAACAGTACAGTAAAGTCCGGGCCCTCAGTCCTAAGGCCACTGCTTCTCAGCTGCTTTCGTAGCAGGCTGGGAGCTCTGCGTTCTCTCCCAAGTAAGTCTGTTGGCCATGGTGTTTTCATCAGCCTCATTCTAGGCGCCTATTACAGGTTCTGAAGAAGTCCACTCCTAGACCTGTGGTAAGCAGGCCACTTCAGGGGCTGTGATCACTTCACAGGCCCCAAAGCTCTGTCAGAGTCCTTGCCTGGTCCCCCTGAGTCCATGGCGGCCTGAGACCAAGCTCACCTCTTCAAGGCTGGTGGGTGAGCCTGCTGTTCATGCCAGGATGGGCGTCTCACAAACTCCTGCCTTCTTGCTGGCTCAAGGGCTATCGGTGGTTTTAAAACGCATCATGGTACGAATTCCTTTTTTTTTAAACAATCTTTTTTTTTTTTTCCTTAAATGTAAAAAACACCTCGGTACAGCAGAGACAGACACGAAGGGCGGGCGGGAGGGCTGCATGCAGGGGCGTGCATTGGCTGCTGCCGCTTTGTAATTTAATTGTTTTAAACCTCAAACGAACAGAACTGCCGCTGTCACTCAGGCCCTCCAGAGCCACTGGCTGCGAAGGTTCGACCTCCAGCTGGAATCTCCTAATGCCCCTGTCAAAGAAGACAGAACACAGTAACAAAACAGAGGACAATGAGCACGCAGATGAACTTCCAGGATATAATAAGCACATTGCACACTTGGCTATCCTGTCAGAGAAGGTGGTAGGGAAAAGCTAACATCTAAATATAGCCCTGCCTCAATCTGAGCACCTATTAAGTGATTTACTTACAGTATCTTATTTAATCCTCACAAATTCAAGAAGGTAGGCACCACCCTTCGTTTTGATGGCTGAGCAATCCGAGAAGTATCCTCCCTCTCTGTGCACACCCAATTTGAAGTTCTGGAGCCAGATTCAAGTCTGACTGGTTTCAGCTCTAATTTATAACCACACTGCCCAGCCTCTGTTATTTCTCTGGGATGAACTATGTGTCTGCCCAAGTGCCACCTCCTAGCATTCTCTTCCTTCTCGGACCCCACCTGTCCCAACCCCTCCCAACCGCCCCTCCCCTACCAGGTGCACCTGTGGCTGAGCTCACTGCAGCGGTGCGGCAGGGGCCCCTGAGCAGTGATAGTGGACATTGAGCCACTTGCCATCCCGGCGGTGCCAAACCCGAGTCTCCTCTGACTGGCTGGTGCGAGGCCGACCCTGCCCGTCGATATACTGGGTGAGACGGATGTAGGCGATGCAAGCTGCGTCCTCCCCAATCACGTGGACGTGTGGATTTAGGATGGTGGTATGGATGGGCTTGCTGTTCTTGGACAGGACTGTAGAGGGCAGGGCAGGGAAGGGGAGGTTGGAGGGTGTCAGGCTCCTTCCAGCCTGTACTGCAGTTTTCCTCCAGCAAATCATGCAGAGGATCTGCAAGCCTTTCCCCCACAGAGATCAGGATACCCAGTACATTAGTCTCAGTGACCCTCAGGGAAGAGAAATATGGGTAATGATGACAACAGGAGCTCGTCCTTTGATCAGGTGTTGACTGGGTTGGGGGTTTTACATGCATGTGCTGAATCTCTTTGTTGGTGTTACTGTCTTCATTATAAGAAGGAAATATGCCTGAGAAGATTAAGTATCTGCCCAAATCACACATTTACCCTCAGGACTGTTACAAAGCAGTATGAACTTTTTTTTCCTTTTTGTTTTTTGAGGCAGGGTCTCACTTGTAGTTCAGGCCTGGCCTTGAACTCACTCTGTAGCCCAGGTTGCCCTCAAACTCACAGGAATCTTCCTGCCTCAGCCTCCCAAGTGCTTGGAATTACAGGGATGTACCACCACACCTGACTAGATCTTTTTTTTTTTTTAATCGGTACCAGGGATCAAACTCATGACTGGGCACTTGCAAAGCAGGAGCTTATGCCGCTGAGCTAAATCCCCAGCCCCTAGATCTTTTCTTTTTTTCAAGAGTCTCTCTCTATAGTTCAGGCTGGCCTTAAACTTACTATGTAGCCCAGGATGACTTTGGCAACCCTTCTGCCTTTGCCTCTGGAGTGCAGGGATCATGGGCCTGCTCCACCACACCTAGACTTACTGTCTTTCAATCTGGTAGGCTGATGTTTGGATTTTACAAAGTTATAATTGTCCCTATTTAGGGATTATAGAGCAAAATTATTAACTCAAAACATTCAAAACTGATTTGTGACTTCAAAAGAAAAGGTATCAAAATTAAAGTCACCAAAACACCTAGCTAACACTCTCCCAGGATCCTCCAGGGGAAAGGCAAGGGAAATCTGCCTGCCGTTATCAGTACATGCTGTGCAGGCTGTGGCATTTTTATTGAATTCACATTTTAGTTCAAGTCCAGTTTTTACTCAGGAACTACAGGATACCTTCATTAAAACTAATATAAACTCTGGAATTGCTTTTGGTGAAAAGAATTACTGAGAGGGTGGAACATAGCAGAAATGCAGAGTGGCAAAATAAAACTCAGGGCAGAATGGGAAAAGGCCCAGAATAAAGTGGACATCAAAAGAAACAAATGCAGCAGTCTCAGGGAGAGGAAAGAAAGATGGGAGCAGGTGATAACCCAACTATTTATGCTCAGGGCCTTTATTCAGAGGACCCCCCTATCCAGGGTGCCTGCCTCCCCCCACAACTTCTGGTATCACAAATTACCCTGTTACTTGCTTGCACATTCTTATTTTGGTTTTAATTTCCTCTATTATGAAACCTGCAGACACAGATTATTTGCTGAGATCCTCTCAACCTAATCTCAGGGGTTTTGCAATCTGACCTGAAAAAAGGTAAGGCTTAAAGAAGTACAGGGTCACCATGGTGACCCTGACCATGGTGAGCAGCACTGCCCTGAAGCAGCTGCAGGATGAATGGGTGTTTACTGCTCTTGCCTTTGAATGGGGGTGATTTAAGACCAGCAGAAGACAAGATCAGCAGGGCAAGGACAGGGAGGCGTACAGAGCAGAATGCGCCAGGAAGGTCAAATGAGGACAAAGGCAATGGGGCAAGGTGAGGGGGAGCAAAGACCGAGGCGAAGGGATGAAGGGGCAGGCAGGAGTATATCAGCAGCACGAACCCACTCACGATTCTCAAAGTAAAACTTATGGAAATCCATCCCTTCCACGAGGTTACCAAGGGCCTCAGGTTCAAATGAAGTGAGGCCTGGGTCACAAATCTTCCTGCAGAAAAGGAAAAAAGCCTGAAGCAGGTTGTCAGACAGGGGAGTTGTACATCTTCCTGTCAGTGGAATCTGCCCCACAGCAGCCATCTAGCTATAGGCCACGCTTCAGGCTCAATCACAGGTCATCTACTGAAAGGACTCCTGGCCTAGAGGCTTTGGGTTTAACTCAGATACTGCCCAAGCCCAGCCAGCCCTTTCCCCAGGGTCTTGGCTGCTTTCTGGGGGCATAGAAGGCCTTGAGGGATGACCTATGCCTCAAGGAAATGGGTCTCTACTCACGTGTAAGCGTCAAAATCCCCATTGTTGATGGCTTCAATCAGCTGTTCTGTGATTTTAATGATCTCCTGTTTTCGCACTGTAGGAGAAAAAAATTCACCAATTTACCTGTTGGGCAACTTCTCCAATGACAGAGAGCCCAGTTCGATCCCTTAGGGTATCCCCTGCCATCGCTTTGTCAAAGACATCCCTCTTCTCTGTCTTTAAGGCCTTTTACAGAAGGAGCAAGCCTACCCCTTTCCCCATACCCTCTGTGGTGGCCAATGACCACTTCCTCTCAGAGGCACCCACTAGTACAGTTCTCTGGCCTTCACCTCCCTCTCCATCAACAACCAGGTTGCAGAAAACACTTCTCTTCAATAGTTAGGGAGTCTGGAACATCCACGAGTGCTCTATCAGTTCGTGTGACTCACCTCCAGCAGTTCACCCTGAGAAGCATCTCCCAACACAGTGGTTTCCACCCTGTCCCCCACCAGACCCCACACAACAGGAAGAGGCTTGGTCAGATCTCAAATGCTACCCTCACTCTGAGCTCTCATTCAGGGCCCAGAACCTAGCCTCGGGCAACAGCTACCCTGAGAGCAGAATCTAGTTAGGGGTGAGGAATCCCAAAGAACGAACAGAGCTCTAGGATGGACTCTAAATTCTCTTTGCCCTGCTCATCTCCTCCACAGGCTTTGCTGGGATAAGGGATCTTGGACCTGTAAACACTCCTGAAGGCCTCTTGCCAAAGGCTCTGTTTACCCTGGACAAGCCTTGGAAAAGCTGTAAATCTCACACCAGCTCTCCTGCCAGGACATGTCCCTCAGGGAAACCAAGACAAAGCTCAGACTGACAGGCAGGCAGTTCATGCCCCCGGAGCCTCCCAGCCCTTCCCACACCAAGGGACAGCTGGTGACATCCTGCTCTCATGGGCAGCTCCCATACAGGGAGTGTCGTTAAGAGAAGGGAGGACTTGAACCAAGCTTGGGCTAATCTTGACCCCCTGGACTGGCCCAGGCCACAAGCCTTCCCTTACAGGAGCAAGAGGCTGCAAGACAAATGCAAGCATCAGAACAGCGCCAGCATGGCACAGTGGGGCCAGCACAGCCAAGGGTCCCTGGTACAGGGAGCGGGCAGCACAGCCAGAGGTGCCCCCACCACTGGTCCCGGGGAGCAAGCAGCCAGTTAGAAGACCAGGGAACTCTATTCCTCTTCCAAAGAAGCAAGCAGGTAGGTTTGTCCACACAACTGTCTTGCTGTAACCCTGCCGAGCTCATCTAGAGGACCTGACCAGGGCCTGCGGGTAAAAAGGTTCATGTTCAGAAACTCCACAGGTAGATGTGGGAGGAAGAGAAGCCAAGAGGCCTCCTCTAGCACACACAGCACTACAGCTCTGAGTACCATAAACTGCCGTTGACTCTCCAAGGCATCATGTCAAGATCTATCACTTATTTTTCACAACATATGAGGTAGGTGCTTCCCTCCCTCCCCCTTCCCACTATGGATAAGCTCTGGAAAGCTAAGTCCTTCACAGCTCCTGAAGGTAGCACGGCTGGGGCTTAATCTCAGGTCAGTCTTACCCGGAACCCTTATTTGGAATACAACACGAGGCTGAGCCTCAGGGAAACCTACCCCATCGTAGTTCCTGGGCTACCGCAATTTCACCACTGTCCCCTCAGACCTGGCTTCTGCCTCTGCCCTTCTTCCTGGTTGCTGCCAAGGCCAGCCTCACTGCACAGCCCAGCTGTTTTCTGCTCCCTCCCTCCACCCACTCAAAGGTATTTCTCTGGCCCCAGACTCAGGGCCCCTGCCTGGTATTAACTGGGTCTCCAGCCGACTAAGATGGGCAGCTGGGTTGGGCTGACAGCTCTGGGGGTGATCCCTGAGGGGCTTCAGAACGAGCCAGGATTTGGAAGCCAGAATGTGCCTCCCTCACACTTACTGGCTGAGGAGCAGAGAGAAGGCTGGGGCTGCATGCCTGCAGAGGGGGCTGTTCTGTCCCAGGAGCTCCGTCCTTCAGGCACCGAGCTGCCATTCCCAGTGCGGAGCGGGGCAGCTAGCCAGCCAGGGCAGGGCAGGGCAAGGCAGAGCAGCCAAAACAAACAGAACAAGGCAGGTGAGCGAGCAAGCTGGACAGAACCCGAGCCCGGGGCGCTGCAGAGCCGGAGCAAAGTGATGTTCAGGCTGCTGTGGGCACTGGACTGCACCCCACTCCGCTGCTCCTGCCAGAGGCCTCCCAGCCGGAAGCACCAGGAAGGTGCACAGATGGACCTGGGCTTGCGGCTTCCAGCCGAGCCTTAAACAGCCTGCACAGAGACCCCTGTTCCCAAGAAGACCTTCGAGGGCCACAAGCCTGACAGCCCAGTCTAAAGGGTGTCTTCTACTCTGCCAGCAGCACCATAATTGAACTGATCTGACCTGGCTCCCAGCAACCAGGTGGCAGCATTCCTTATTACTGTATATGTTTCTGCTTTTGATTTTTGTTGTTTTGTTTTTGGCTTCCAAAAGTCCAGCGCCTCTTATTGCCCATGGACATGCTTCAGCTCGGCCCTTCAACATCCTCCGTTTCCTGTGGTGCCTGCCTCAACGTAACTTACTGAAGGCAAAAGGAACAACTCCAGGAGGCCAACTCAAAGAGGACAGAGAATACCGCTGGTAGGGCCTGCCATGCTCCCCATGCTCCAGGACACTCTGGGAAGCCCCAAAACCCAGGCTGTAGTCCTCACGGCTCACCAAGACAGCTGAGTGTGGCCTCACAGACTTACAGTTCTAACTCCCACCCACGGCCAACTCTCAGGACCAGAGTACCCAACTCATTCCAGAGGGCCTGAGAATGCCTTGGGCTTTGCTTTTTTTCTTTTGGTGCTGAGGACTGAACATGCTTTTATGTGCTCTACCATTAGGCAACATATCCTCAGTCCTTATCCGTTTTTCTGTTTTGTTTTGTGTGTGTGTGTTGGGAATTAGAACTCAGGACCTTGCATTTGCCAGGCAGGTACTGTACTGCTGAGTTACATCCCTGGCTTACCCCTTATTTACTTGTTTGTCTTTTTTTCTTTTTTTATCGGTACCAGGGATCAAACTCACGACCGCACACTTGCAAGGCAGGCGCTTATGCCGCTGAGCTAAATCCCCAGCCCCCATTATTTTGGTTTTGAAACTGAGTTTTACATCCTGGGAATTGCATTGGGAAACCAGGATGCCCTACTGGGTGCCCAACTTCTGCAGAAACCTGAGATGCCCCTGTTGTTGGACAACACATCATTATTAGCAACAGAAGTTCTGAGCCTTGGCTCCAGGAAGAGCTAATTTAACTAATCTAGACTTAGGTCAAAGAAAAAGACTTTCATTCAGCCTAGCAACACCAGACAGGGGCCTTATATCTTGGCCCATGGAAAGTTGTTTTCATGCCAAATCCTCTCCTGGCAATGAGCATCCACCAATTCCAGTTCTGAAGACAGACAAGGTAGGTGGCCCGTTGCAGTTGAGGTATTGGGGTCACAGCCGGGGTTCCTTTTCCCTCCAAGGACCAGCACCTACCTTTGAGGTCCTCATCTTCTGTAGTAGTGTTGCAGCTCTCTGTGGAGCCCTGTGGGCCAAAAAGAATGTGTTTCTATATACTCGAAGCTTGAAAGCTCAAAGGAGCAAGCAAAACAAAAGCAAAGCATTAGCTACTACAAGAAGGGCCACGAGGAATCTCAGAAGTTTCTACTTCCACCCTTGCTTTCTGAGTTATGAAGCTCTGGGCTCCCAAATGCTGTCCTACTCTTTTCCAACTCAGTACATTACCCCATGGACCCAATTACTCAACACATGAAAACCTGCAGTCACCCTTGATTCTTCTCTCTTTCCTTTATGTTCTGGTCAACTAATCTAAAATAAAATCTTTTGGTTCTAGCTGTAAAATAAATGCGGCGTCTCCTATTTTCTCTTCAATTGCACAGCTACAGTCTGAGTCCAAAGAGCCAACCCCTCACTCCTGAACTACTATAGCAGCTTTCTCTTGCCTTCTCCCTCGAGTTCTTGCACCACATCTTTTAAAGTGCGTATTTATGTTACTCCCCTGCTAAAAACTGCTAATAGTGTCTTGCTGCTAGAATAAAATGCCAAACCACCGCAGCACTTGCCTGCTTTTCCACCAGCACCACCCTCTGGCTTTTTTGTTCGTCACAACCGCTGTGCCTGACTGCAGCTCACACACATCAGGCTCAGCACTTGCAGCCTCTGCCCAGCGCACCAGGACTCACAGCCCACTCAGCTGCCTCCTTCCCACCACCAGTGAGTTGGTAGATCGGCACCGACCACTTAAAGGCCGACTCACTGTCTCTTTTCTTTGGGCCACTTTCTTCAGAGCACTTCTCACTACTGGATTTCATCTTAATTACTGACTTACTATCCTCTCCCCATTTATCGTATCATCTCTGTGAACCAAAGCCATTGGAGCTCGGTGGGCTCCTTGCACATTTACTGTTAGCGGGCACGTGATGGGTGGGGCTGTGGTGCAGTGGAGTCCTGATTACATTCTTGCCTCTGTTTTCTTTCTTTTTTTTGGTACTGGGGATCAAACTCACGACCTTGTGCTTGTCAGGCAGACGTTTATGCAGCTGAGCTAAATCCCTGGTCTCCTGCCTCTGTTTTCTTTAGCTTACATCCATTCTCACTAAATTTCACAACTCATGGAAGAAGATTTCATCATTTTCATCTCTGATTTATAAACAGGAAAAGAGAGAGGTGCAGTGTGGTTAAGCGATCTTCCCAGGCCAGAACTCAGACTAGCCTGGCTTTGGCAAACACTCAGCCTCAGGATGCAGCCTGCAGGTGTCCATCTGCAGGACTCAAACCCAGCTCAACCATCTCCTGCTGCTCCAGAAAGCAGGAAACAGGCTCAGGAGTCACTCACTCACCTTGATCCCATCTGTAGCATTGTGCACCACGGTGGTTTGTGGTTCCTGTGAGAGAAAATAGAAATAACCCTCCTGATTGGGGACAGACCTATAGTCCTTCCCTGAAGGATCCCACCATCACCCAAATATCCCCCAGAGAATCTATGATGAGCCCAGCCCACCAGTCATTCCCTCGGGATAAATAATCCTGGTGCAAGTGGGGTCTTGGGGAGCCAGGAAGCCCTGGACTTAGGTGCTACCACCGGGTGCTAAGCAGCAGCCTGGTGAAAGCAGGTGCTTGGGGAGCCGAGAGCCTCTGTCCTTGATTCCTACTGGTTCTAAGGGCTTTTTCTGCACCGAGGGCCCATGAGATTAGTACATAGAGAAGCCATGGGACTCAGAGAATGGGCAGGGTCCTGACAACACAGTTCATCAGGGGTACACAGGTGGCAGGGACACAGGGAGAGCAGAATGATAAGGTTTCCCACAAAGACTCAGGGTGTCCTCTTTGCAAGCTGAACCCAGGGAGCTGCTCCCTTTGCCCACCTCTTGCCTTCTCTGATTGGTCCTTAAGGTTCTGCAGGAAGCAAAGGGTGTGGCAGGCAGATCACCTTTCCCTCTTTCCCAGTTACCCACTGCTAACTCCCTAGTTAGCCTCGCTCTGGTTAGAAGCAGCTCTCAGACAGCGCCCCCTGGAAAAGCCTTGAGCGAATTCAGACAGATAGGGCTCCCTGGAACCCGAGAGACTTCAGCACCGTCAGACATGGAGGGAGGCCCCAGCCCTCCTTCTGTTCTTGCCATTGGGAAGAGACCGATGCAGGTTCTACAAGGCCTCCAAGAACTGAGTTGTGGGTCCCAAGAAAGAGCCTACCCTCTCCTTTATGAAGCAACGCATCTTTCCAGCACTCAACCAAACCCACTGGGGCTCTTGCTGGCGCTGGGAGATTTGGCTGAGATCCCTGATCATTCTTCCCCCACAACAGCAAAAGGAGCAGGAACAGTGAGTGGTTCTGCCATGCAGGACAGAGCATGGTCGAGCAGGACAATGAAGGGCAGCACGCAGAGCAGCCTGTTCTATAAGGCTCAGAAGAGGAAAGAGGCTAAGGAGTCCTGCAGGGGAGGGCAGGAGGGAAGGGGAAGGGGGCAGCCAGGGGCAGAGGCAGAAAAGCTGTAGTCAGGAGGTACCATGGCCGTCTGCAAGGGCGCAGGCTCTTGGGCCGGGCTTACGAGACTGTTTTTGTTGTTGCTCTGTGGCTGAGACAAGAAAACAGATGGTTTAGTTCCTCCTGTGTCACCAAAGCCATGCAGGTTCGACTCCCAGACCTCCCTGCCCCCTGGCCTAGCCCAGAGGAGCTAGGTCTGAGTAGCCACCAGACCACTCTGCAGATAGGTGCCATGGCTGGAGAGATGATCAGAGTAAGGACGCATTTGGAAGGGTCCCAGAGACCCAGCTCTGGAGGCATCCTCAAGATGGGACCAGATGAAGGCTCATTTTAAAGCATCTCTCCAGAAATCTCTGCTATGCCAGGTGCTATACCATTGCACAGTCATACCTGACCAAAGAAGCTCAGGATCTTTTTCCCACTTTACAGGTGAGAAAGACAGCCACTGATAAGGGAACAGAACAAAATTTAGAAACTTTGGCTCCCCTATCTGTAGGCAATCTCCTGCTGCCCAGCTGCCTGGCACCAACATTTCCTTTCCAAAAATACTGGCTTGGAGCCTGATCTGAAGAAAAAAGAGGCAGAAGAGAGAGAATACCTGACCTAGGAGACGGTGTCAGGGAGGAAAGGGAAAAAATTCAACTCTGGGTTCAAAACACATCCATGGGCCCTGCGGAGCAGAGATAGGGCGATGCCGATCACCTGCCTGATAAATCTTAGGTTTGATCGACTGCAAATAAGGGCAGGGCTCCATGGAGGGAGAGGTAAATCTCATGGGGGCTGGGGCTGTGCTCCAGAACCCAGGCCCCAGGAAACAGCAGGCTGCCAGGCAGGCAGGCAGGCCAACATTCCTAACAGCAGCTCCACCACCAGGGACATCTTGCCTTTCAAAACATCACAGAATGGCAGAGCCAGGCAGGGAAGTGGGGAGGCTGGAGAGGAAGAAAGGAGGCCAATCTCCAGGGCAGGAAGCCATTATCGATGCTCTCTGTCTTTTACGATTCCCTAACCAGAGGACGCAGTCTCACTAGGTGTCCCAGGGGAGTCTCAGCCACTGAGCAGCCTGATGCCTGCAACTTCTTCAACAGGCAAAGAGACAAATGTGTGGCTGCTGCCTCTGTGCAGGGCATAATGAGGACATGCTGACAGCTAGAACGTGCTCCTTCTCTGCTAGGGGACACACACAAGGCATCCAGACTGCTCTACATCCTCCCTGGAGGCCTCTTGGACCAGACCTAACACTATCCATCTCCAAACTCAGGGCTATTCCTGGAACCCTGAGCCAGGTGCCACGTGCTGAAGACTCCAATGAATTCTCTGCAGGCTGAAGTGTCTTTACAGGAGCCAGCATGTGGGCCCAAACCCAGGTGAGCTGTTTCTTCCATTCTCACTGAGAGAGCAAAGCCCTCCTAGCTCAGCAGCTGACGATCCCCTCCTGTTCAGGGCTGATGGATACAGGCTGTCCTGCTCATGAAGCCCGGCTGATACCAAGACCTTTGCAGGGGACAAGGACTCCAGAGTGCCTATAAAGCCACAGAAGTTCAGGGTGACACCCAAGTGACCCCACCTTTGATTTCAATGGACAGTTTCATGATGACTCAGATTGCCAAGTTCCCCTTGGTGCCTTGTGTTCCAATCTGTTAGCTGAACCCAGCTAGAGAAGGGGACTTGCCCAGAGGAAAAGCCAGGTGAGCAAGGCTCAAGCTGTAGCCTACAGTCCACCCTCTGCCCACCACTGCTGCCCACAGGTGTAGATCTGTGTGCAGCAGCTGCACATGTCACAGGAGCGTTGCCTTTTTTCCTAAGTGCCAGTGAGTGAGGGTCTCCCTGAGTTGCCACCTGGCCCTGAGTCCTTGCCAGCTTCACTCCCTACCCTGGCCTGTGGGGAGCTATCCAACCTCCACAGCAGGCGGTGCCGTTCCACACCTTCCGAAGCCCGCACGTGAGGCCCTGGGTGACCTTGGGCAATGGCCCCCGCCTGGCAGGACAGGCCACACCTGCCCACACGGCACAGACATGCAGTGAGAATGAGTGAAGCGCGCGCACATGGCAGAATGGGTCTGCGTGGCTGGCAGGCGGGTGCAGGCAGCATGAAGTGGGCTGATGGGTGGGCAGGCAAGGCTCACCATTAGGTGCACGCTGGAACTTGACTTCCTTTTCTGGACACACCACAGCAAAAGGGAAAGAGAAGGGGAAAGAGGAGGTAAGAAGAGAAGCACAGAGACACTGCAGGTTAGTGCCCCAGCATGGGCTCTGCATTGTGGGAGAAAAGAGCAGAAGAAGGAGACCTGCAGTCCAGCACCAGAGGGATTAACACAGCACAGAGACCCACAGGTGCACCCTCTCCAGGCCCTGGCAGGAAGAATTCTGTGAGTTCAAACACAGCTTTAGTGTATTTTGAGAAGTCTCAGCCTTGCTCAGAGAAAGCTGCTTAAGGAGATTAAGTCACCAGTCCATGAGGGCAACATCTGGCGGCTGCCAATTTACAGGTTTGGTTCACAAGATTAGTGCAACTCAAAGGGTCCGTCTCCAATTTGAGTGAGCAGCTCCCAGGTAAGCAGCAAAAGCATCTACAGACCTTCCTTGGCTTCAGTCACGTATGACTTCAACCCAGAACTTGCTGTACCTCTAAACTGTTGGGCTTCTGAAAATGATCTCACAGTTAAATTTTGGCATCTCCTTCTTTGTTGGGATGGCCACGTTTGTTTAAAAGATCTGACTGTTTGACCGTAGTCTGTGCTTACTAGGAAATGGAGTGGCAGGAGTGCTGGTGATTAAAAGTGCAGTGATCAAGATGTCAGCCATGGGGAATGTTGAAAGCAATGATTTTTTAGCCTCAGCTAGATGCTCATGGACTTTACATC